TATATTTTGGCATTTTGTTAACGTGACTATTACAAATTCCTACATCTTGTTCTCTATGAAAAGTAAATGTCCATTTTTACGGTTGAAAGATTTTCGAATTTCTATAACTAGAGGATTGATCACACTGCGAAAACGATCACATTTGGAACATAGTTAATTTAAAATGCACAATTCTACACAGCAACAAATGTTTCTTCAACTGTAAGTATTAATGTAATTTATGCATTAAGAATGTTAGCATCGAATCTTCACCGAGAAACTTATGAAAATGACCGACTGACTGAAAAAAAGTCGGATTTTAAAATGAAAAATGTACTTAAATGTGTGGATGTATGTGTTTTGGTTGAGAATATAATCAAATACTAGTAAAAGGTAATCTTGGCATCAATTATTAGATTGAAACACGTTCACTGAGTTTGTGGATAAAGACTTTGGAAAAGTAATTCATAGCACTATCAAAATTGGCATTCATAGCACTATCAAAATTAAGACCTCGCGCGATAAAGGACGCTTGGTGAAAACAAACAAGGACCTCATTTTTATGCAAACCTGTCAAACATTGGAAATTTTTTTCTCTTCTCACTTAACAGAAGCTGGTCAATTCTGGTGACTCAATGAGAGGAAATCACTTAAAATCCTGGATTCTTTATCTATCTGTATTTGTAACAGTCATTGCAAGAGCACTACATTCTTTTGGTACTTTTAAAAATTATGATTTCTTGTGAGGAAATTTATGATAAACCATCTTCACCGAAACTTTACTTTGATTAGCAGCAAAATTGCATTATTGAAGAAAAAAAAATTCACTGCAAGACCTAAAGTACATCATTGACCTCCTTTTCAAATTTATCTCAAGAATTCCTTTTTTTTTTTTTTTTTTTTCCTTTCTCCCTTTGGACCTAATTCGTTTCCGTAGAAACGCCTATGTAGAAGCATACTAAAATCAAAAACGTGCTTGATGTCATCCGGATATCCCAGTTACCCTGGCAAGTTTGTCCTCTTCGTCCCCAGGTTTTCGCCTAGGTGGGAAAATCTCTTGAGACAGCTAAGAAACGTGAGATCTTAATTTTTTCTGTCATCCATTAAAGAACGACTTCGTTTGTGAAGTTATATGACGCAAGAGTTCATAAGGCATTTTATCGTTGTCTTTTGTCACGGTAGGAGAAATGACCTAACAATGTCGGTAAATGTTAACTCTTTTTATTTTAAAGCTTAATATGGAGACAAAATAGAATCTCTTCTTATTGCTTTGAAAAATGAATAAATGACTAAGTTTCCATTAATATTTTTATAGGTTCGTTAGAAGTCTTGTTAAATCCATTATTGTCGCTTTGTCTTCCTGCTATTGGGGCAGCTTGTTTAAAAGAAATTATTAGCATTTTGGAATAACGTAGACTCTTAAGAACTGAACTTATCTAGTAAAGATTATGGTGGCTACTTTCTAACTATAAAAATCAATCTGCTCTAAAGTTTGGGTATTAATTTATAAATTTTGTAGTTTAAGACATAAACACAGTGTAAAAACGAAATCGAATTTTTTATGTGCCTGAAGTTGCAAAACTAAGCAATTACATATTATTTCTCGCAAAAGTAAATGCAAATCTTTAGTAATAAACAAGTATGATATGCTGATAACCTAGGTATTTCTTGTTAAAAGTGTTAGAATTGTGCTTCTTAATTTCCTTTTTAATTTTAATTTTAAAATTCAAATTGTTGTGGCTTTCTGAAAAGTAATGATGGATTTTGTGCTTTTATTTACTAATAGTAGCAAAAGCATGTGTATTGTTATATTTGAGGACTTTTCATTTCCCCCTAATCGGAGATATAGAGAAACAGTCTCATTATTCACAGACTGGTGAATAGTCTATTTATTAACCGCTGTACAAGATGTGTTAATATGTTCATTTTTCTGTTTAGTGAATTGCACAAAGTAGATTAATTCATTAATGGGTGTGAATTCCTTTACTAGCCAGCCTTAATTCCCATGGATTTTTTCCTTGTAAAATAATTTGAAAATATTTTTGAAGTGAAATGATTCAGAATCTTGCTCATTGAAGTATAGGGACTCTAGACCAGAGTTTAAATTGCGCCGGTACTGCTTGATTTTTAAGATAAATCGTAATTCTTAGCCGGAGCACAAAATAAGAGCGCACGGACATTTTTTTTATGTAACTGAACCACAATTTTAATAGAAAATTCTTTTGATCTTGAAAATTTTATTTTTAGTAATAAAATTAAATTAAAAATAGATTTTATTATTAAAAATAAAAGGTTCCCTTCCACATGTCAAAGGCTTTATCTTCAAAAACTGCAATGCATTTATTTATGACAGTAGGTAAATTTTTCATTCCAGCACTAGTATCTTCTTGCGTACAACTTTATGTACTTATCATTCATGTATATTTTTCAAAATTCATTAATAAATATAGCGTATGGTAAATGGTTCCATCAGTTAAGCAATAAAGCTGAAAAGTCGTAACGGCGGTACAGCTGGCTTAACTGATAGTCTTCAGTATCTTCTTGCGGAAAAGAGCACCTGCAAACGTTTTGAAACGATGTAAATACGGGGGAAGAAAATTGCCATTTGTTACTTTGTTCTCAACTAACTCTCGAATTTCGAAGAAACTGTTTTCCATGTCATATTTTCCTTGACAGCTAGAATTATATTGACAGGGGATCGTGGGCGAGAAAGTGGACTCTCCTCTCTTCATAAATACTCATCCTCCGTTAAAATTTCCTCCATATTCTGTAACTGTTTATAATATTCTCTCTACTTTCATTAGTAACGTTTTAACCGCTTTAACGCTCCTTGCTGGTGTGCTGGAAAAAGACGGGGCCTAAATTCAGCCAAAGACTAATTGAACTATTTCTTTGTTTTTGAGGAAAATTGTAATTTCAGCCTGAGGTCCAGCGTTTCATTATTTAACTACTTATCATTTATTTAATAACCCATTACATTTTTATTTTAAACTTTAATTATTAATTACTTAACTATTTTAATAATGAATTATTTTCAGCTTTATTAAAAAATATTATTTTTTTAGTTAAATTATTTATTTATTCTTGTCCTCTTCCCGACCGTCTTCCATAAGACTCCGGCACTTCTAATTTTAGAAATTAAATCCTGTCCTAGACACACAGAGACGATTATATCCGGATATTCTTAACAGAAAGTAGACAGCAAGTATGAATATCATTTCGATGAGCACCATGCCATTGAAAATGCACACGTTAAAAAATCGTAATAATTTTCAAAATTGAATTAATATATTCAAGATAAAGTATACTATATCATCATCATAATAATACATTTAAATATTTGTAGATCTAGTATTGAAATCTATTCTTCTATTTGTTTCTTTTCTTCTATTCGATTCTATTTGTTTTGCTGTTTATCCCTTTTATCTTACTATGCTTATAGTAAGATAAAAGGGATAAACAGCAGCTTTATAAATGCTTTGAGTAATAGTTACTGTTACTTTTTTTTTCTTAAGTATCATTATAATTCACGAATGTTATTAAAACTAAAAAGGGAATCTTAATAATATATATGCTTCCTTCTACTTTTTTCATTTTCAATAAAATATTCATTTTCAAGTTATGAAATTAAATGATCATTTAACTACTTTTACTTAAATTACTAAAATCAGAAATACAAGTAAAATGAAAAAGGACTCTTTGATGTCTTGAGTAGGATAAAAACAAACACTTTTCCCTTTTTTTTTCATTTGGTGGTTAGATTTTGATTCAGACTTCTGTACTTTACAAACATATTTGCATGCGATGCTTAAAAAACATAGACACAAACTTCACATATAAGTCTAAATGTTACAGAGAATCTATTTTTGTTCTGTATCTACCATAGATTATTTTACGGTCGGCTCATTTCGTACTGCAAGTTTCCATATGAACTGATTTAATGCAGGTATATCGTGTATGTCTTAGTAATTGTTTAAATTTTCAGATAAATGTTATCTAATGTTTTAGAATATATATATTACAAAGTTCCTACATGGGATTTACAGCCTTGAGAACCTGGTAAACGAATAATCACTTTAGTTCAGGAGACAGACACGTAAACTTGAGAAGGGTTAATTACCCTTTATCGCTCAAAATAAAGTTTACAGATGACCCTTTCTCAGGACGTACAGAACAGCCTCCACTTGGGCTTGAACTCAAGGGTACTAAGAAAAACAGACTTAACTAATGCTTAACTAAAAAGATATAGCCGAAGGATTCTACAAAATTCTACAGGAGTTGGCCCCTTAAAAGCTAGCTAAACGGCGAAGCTATCAAGGGCCTGAAATACGGCCGAGCGCCGTAATAGCTTAGAGAGAGTGTGGCCAAAAGGCGAACGCGCTAGTCAGAATCTCTAGTTCTCTAAGAGGAGATAGAGGTTATCACATATGGCTACAGTCCCTCCTAGACGGGACTTCTCTGAGAAACGAGATTCTGGTAGCACTGGTTAAAATGGGAGGATTCCTAGGAAAAAAAAAAAAAAAGAGTCCCGCTGGAAGCGAAGTCCCGCCTAGCTACGGAAATAATGTCGCGGCTACGCGGGATTTTTTCAAACCTCACAGAAAATGTCCCGGGTAGAGACAACCAATCAAACGAAAGTTCTGCTTCTGAAGGATCACGTGATCCCAATTTGAGCGATAATCGATTACTGTTCGGCGTTCAAGTCTTTGTAGTAAGTGAGAATGGTAACCTAGCTACGTGTGTTTCCCGGAATCGTGCGGGTTCTGAGAATTGTCTCTTTCGACGTCAAGTCCCGCGTAGCCGAAACATAATGTGATTGGGACCTAACGAAGTCAGCGGAACTTCGACGTTGAGCACTGCTCTTCCTTCATTTGCATTTAACCGCGATTCTAAAAACACACTTTGGCAGGAAATTTGTAAGCTGAAATTAGAAAGCGGCAGGAAAGTAGCCTTAACTAAAAAGAACAACTGTTAAAACTTAGGATAAACCTTAGATCATATAATGTCCTTTATTGACGCAGTGGAGGAAAATTATCCGCTGTAGATGTCAAAGGAAATTGGGTACAGAATTCTTTAGAGCTTTTACAGTTCCCAGCATCTGTTGTTAGGCTTGTTTCTAAACTGACACTCATGAGATCCCACTGTGAAGGAAATTACATCCATCACCTTCAAACTGGCTACTTAACGGTGAGTGGAATTGTGTCCCATGAGACACCTGTGCTTTGTTGCCTTCCTGAGCATCATTTTCTAATCACACAAACCGTGAGACCAGCTACTTGTTGCAAGGAGTTACTACCACATTAGGTACAACTACGAAAACGTATCCTTCGCCTCGCTTCTTAATGGAGTGACACCCCAATCAATGTCGAATACCTTTTCATTCTTTGAAAAACGCATTGTTGCACGACTGCCTTTTAATGGATATGCCTCCTCCTTCAACACCTGTTATAGTCGATAATTTCAGCCTGTGTTCTCAGTAAGAGCGGAAGTATGTAGTCGGAGAGAATTTTTTTAAAACTTATTTCTCTGTAATGGTATATTTAGTTCAAGAAAGATCTGTATCATGACCGTATGGACTATTTATGTAACATACTTGTTGCATGAAAGATGCAATATGAGAATATGTAACATAAGGCCATCATCTCTGCTGTAAAATGCATTCAGATGATGTAATGATTGAAAGTTGATGTTCACCGCGAGAAATTGAATACCTGCTAGAACATAATGTATACCCAAAACTCAGAAATTGACTGCAGTATAGAAATGCATACCTTTGGCATCTAAATTTGTTTGTAATGAAGTGGAAGGAAAGAAGTTTTCACGTATAGGGTTAACTACTCCGAATCCGAAATATTTTAAAATTTGCAACTCTTTTATAAAAGCAGATTTTATGAATAGAATGCATGAATTTAAGCCCTGGATTGCCGCTAATCGCATGGTCTGTCTGACCTTCCTGCCACAGAAAATAATAATATATAATGTTTGGTATATTGTTGATTCTTAACATATTGAATTAGGGATACTCAGCCTGTGTGAACGCGAACAAAAACGCAATGTGTTTGCGATTGTAATTATCAACAGATTCATTGTTTTGTAGCTTCAAATGGCTAAAAATTACGATTATATTGGAATGTTATAAAGATTGTTTTAGTGCTGCTTCAAAACACTGTACCTTATTTATCAGTCCAAAGGGGCTTCGTTCCTGAAGGACTATTTTTTTCGTTTTGCAATTTTGCGTTGGTTCACTATAAATGTCCGTTTCACTTTTCAAACTGTTGCCACCCAATGTTAGAGTCCTGCATTATATTTGAAGAAATTAAATAATGAAAAATCTTCATAAATGTATGTATATATTCTCGCATTGTGATAAAACAATGGTACATAGAGTCATCGAATTTTGAATGACGTAATCCTACTGTGAATATGGCCATTTGGAAGCCCAAATTTGAAATTTTGAATTTGTTTTATTATGGATTTCATATTTTGTAAAACTTTAACGAATATTTGAGTAACAAATTTAAAGATTTAAAAGCCGGCAATGGTACACTGTACGGGGGGGGGACCCTTATTTATCTCCAGCGCGTGAGACTGTGTATCGGAAATTCTAAAGAAAGGCTCATTTTAAAATTATTTTGCGACATTGCTATTGAACTGAAATTTATGGTTTTAAGTGCGAAGAACATGATATTTCATAAATAAAGGTAACACACAAAACGTCAAAAAAACGCCCCTTTGGACGTAATTTAAAATCTGAAACATTTCAGTTCTCTTTTTTTTTTTTTTTTTTTTTTTTTTTTTTTTGTGTGTGTGTGTGTGTGTGTGTGTGTTTGCATTTATTTATAATATCTTACAAGTAAAGAAAGTGAGTTTATTATATTTATCTGCATCGGAGAAGAACTGTGAGACATCAGCGTGTTTGGACTAGCCCTGTTAAATAACACTTGTCTTCGCGAATTATTATTTTTACCTTTGCCTGGAAGAATAATTTTAGAGATTCAGTTATCTAAACTCCTGCTGAACTGCAGATACCAATATTTTTGTCTGTGTAGTTCAAAATACCAACTTGAACACTTCGCTACTGCAAATCTTATGCTGGGGGTTCTTTTCAGAAAAAATAGTCGCGAGTCTTGTAAAGCCAGTTGCTTCAGTAAACTGACCTTGATTTGGCTTACAACTAAAAATAACAAAATATAAAATCTATTTTTGATCCGTTTTTGAATATAGAAAGCAAATTTTAAACAAGCTTGAACTAACAGCAATTTAGATGACATTCGAACGTCTCGTAAATTGAGATCCTCACGTGACATGATCCATTAGTATTCCAGAAATACCTAGTAAACTTATAGAAACTACTGATACAATCAGAAAACTGTGCTCCGTTTGTAAGTATTCCAGAATTCTAAGATATTGATATGTTACTGACAGTTGTATACGTCGCTGACAGCTGCCTTGCAGGCATATTAACTTTACTTCCGTGTACGAAGTAAATGAAGTACTGTAATCGCGAAAAATTTTGGGTATCACATTTCAACGAAAGTATCCATTTTGACCGCTCTCGAATCCATTTGAACGATGTTTCAGCGTGACATCTATACGTACGGACAGAATAAAGGACTCTTTTTTTTTTTTTTTTCCAAAACGGGTTGCAAAAAGGGTTTAAAATGGATTCAGAAGAGATATTTTTCGTGGCGTCTGTACGTACTTATGTATGTATGTATCTCGCATAACTCAAAAACTAGTAACCTCAGAGCGCTGAAATTTTGTTAATAGGACTGCGTTAACATGTAGTTCTGCACCTCCCTTTTGGTTCCCAATGGCCGTACCAAATGTATGTAAATATATAATTTTCGGAATTATACTTCCTACATATGGGATCACTCTTTTTAGATACTTCTACTAAATTTATATTAGGAGATAATAATAATTCTTTAGTATATATATATATATATATATATATATGCAAAATATAAAAAAAAAAATAGGACATCTGTACGTACGGACAGAATAAAAAACTCTCTCTCTTTTTTTTTTTTTTTTTTTTTTTTAATTCTTCAATGTTATGTTGGTGAATTCTGCATTTTTTGCTTGAAAAGTAATTGAATTGTGTTGTTCTTGTGTTCCGGTTAAGGTTTTTGTGACTTTAGTTAATCTGCATGCAATAGTTCTAGAATTATCAACAATTTAAAAGTGGAGCTAAGCCGCGATTTGTTTACATTTCAAACTCTTAGAAGAATAGTAAATTAAGTCAGTTGGTGCACGAACTTCAGTTATTTTTTGCTCAGTTTGACTAACATTTTAATTTCGTGCAATTTTTCTCGAAAATTATGTCTTCCTGCTGGCTGGCCGAATTGCTCGTTTTTGCTTAAAACTCTAATTTTAATTGTAAAAAGCACTTTTTAACTGTTTTTACCGTATTTGATGTGTTATGTTTTTCTATATTTTACAATTTTTGATGAAGATGTTTTGAATTTTTATGTATTTTTCCCTTACCATGAAGTGAGAACTGAATTAATTAAATGAGAAATATATCTCCAATGAAATTCGAGGAAATAAGCTTAAATGTAATGCAGCAAAAAGTGTGCAAAATTATTTTATTGGCCATATCATGTGGTGTCCGTATCGGATATTTTTTCTTGTCGCTCTAATTGTATGAAAAATAGTTAGGATTAAAATTAATATACGTTAGCTTCTGCTTGAAATTTTTTTTTTATTTCAGCTGCTTTTTTAATTGAAAGAAAAATAACCTTTTCTTTTTAAAGCCTCTAGTAAATGTTAAACAATTGAAAACCTCTTACATCTCATAGAGATGCATCGTCTACCCATCTGCCTTGTAAAGATCTTGTAAGTCACGCTTGCTGTTACCCTAAAACGCATTCTAAGAAAACATTGTAAATTCTAGCGAAGTTAAAACAATTTTTAAAAGCAGATAAAATATTCTTTCTTCATGCAGTTATTTTCTTTTTCTTAGAACATTTGCAATTAGAATTAAATTCTCTTCGGTTTAAATTAACAAAGATTTTCAATACCGAAAGGGCTAAAATAAAATCAAGCTTTCATAAAATGCAATATTTTTGAGGGGGGAAAAAAGTTCTTTGGCATTTTTCAAATCAGCGCTTGATGATGAAGAAAGTTTAATTGCCTTCTGCAGGTAACGGAAACGAAGTATTTATTTATTTATTTCCAGATTCGATGTTATATCTTGTTGAAATTTGCATTGACAATAATAAAATAAGCTGTTACTAATAAGCAACATTTTTTTTTTTTTTTTTTTCCATTTTAGGTGGAATCTTTCGGCATCTTCGAATTAGATCTTGTGTCTTTCGAAAACCGCGGAGGCCGAGAAATCTTGGGCGGCTGTTGCAGTGGTCGGCATAGGGCTGACGGTTCTTGCCAGGGCACCTGCTCCGTCTACCTCCGGATTTGCATCAAACACTATCAGGCCACGGTGGATCCCGATAGCCCTTGCACTTTCCACGAATTCCAGACGCCGCCTCTCACAGCTAATAAATCGACCAATCCAAACGAGGAGGACTCTGGGATCTTCAATTTACAAGATCAACATAGGATGTCTTTCAATCTCGGCTTTACCTGGCCGGTAAGTTATAACTCGAATTTCAACCCCATACTATGTAAAGTAGCTTCTTTCTATTGAGATAATCATCTCTGGCAACAAAGTCAAAATATTGGGGGTATTTGTGGGGGGGGGGACTCCGAGACGTGTAATTAAAGTTTCGAAGATTTAGCGAGAAAAATTACAATTGTGAAATAGGTACTATTTTAAAAAATTATCTTTGTGATAATTTGTTAAATGTTTACTGTACTTAATAAGATATTTGTCTAAAATAATATAATTAACTAAATGTTTAATATAATTAATAAATGTTCAAATATTTTCATTCCGTATTTAAATCCCTCCCTCTCGGTAACAGGTGATTTTGTGTATTTGAGGTTTTTCAGTTTATTTTGTTTAAAAATATTAAAATTTTAATTCAATATTTTGTGGAAATGAATGAAAAAATAATATCTTTTGAAGCAAACTCTTTTTTAGGTCTTTTAACTGCTAAAATTTCTTTTCTTTAAAAGTTTTGGAATTTGAGTTTTTGAAATTTACTTAAAATCAAAATATAGTTATTTATTAAGTTTCATTTCCCCACCCAGATGGGAAAGTGGTTGGTGACTCTGACGTCGAACCGAAGAGCCCGGGTTCGGATCCTGGAGAAAGCATGAATGTAAATTGTCTATCCCTTCAATAGGAGGCAACGGTGTCCCACCTATTAGGTGCCTCCTTAATAAAATGGCCATCGCTTCCGACCTAGGCAGTGGCCAACGCCTATAACGGCTAGTGCCCGCCATTGGGGAAAAAAAAAAGGGCGGGGTTCCTTTCTTTTTTTCGAAATATCTTGTTTAATTGCTTAGCAGAAGCTCATTAATGAATAACAGATTTACTCGACTAAGTATACGTTTATCTCAATTAGATCTCTAATTAATTAAGATAAAACTGCAGTATTATTAAGTTTCATAAATTAAACAGTTTTATTTCAGCTTTCTAATTCTTTGAAATGGGTGTAAATCATGTGTATGTTTATATATATATATATATTGAAACGGGAAGGTGAATGGAATATTTTCCTCTAGATTTTCAAATTGTTGATTTAATTGAAAACACAATGAACATTTTAATTTTGTTGCTTCTTTTTGCGCATTTATTTATAGATGAAAATTTTACAGAATGTCGAAGACTCATTGGCAACTGCGGCTTTATACTTTGCAGATAATATTCTTAAAAGTTAAATGAGAATGCGGTAGAATGTTTTTGAAAACGGAAACAACTAAAGCATTCTTGGACACTCTTTTATTGGTTACTATGCATCGGAAAGGAATTTGCTGCATCACTTCGTCCACTTTTCATATCAGCCCACTAGCGACCGAGCGGCAAAGTCGCTGAACACTGAGCGCCGCCTGAGATAACCACTGACCTAACTTTGTTGTAAAAGTCTTACAGTGTTAGTAGTCATCCTGGCAGAAGGGAAAATTTCCTCCGTGTAAGAATATACATATAAATATTACATGGGCATACAAGGCCTGTGAATAAGCATAGATATGTTGATTACAATCATTGTCTTGTACAAGTTACATATGACAGATACATAAAATCATGACAGCTATGTGTACATTTTTAGACATTATATGAATTCATATTTACAATACTTTTACTGAGATAATCAAAATTAAACTTGTAATTCATTTACACATTGACTGGATTTTCAATATCATTTAAACTGCTTTACAATATTATTTTTATCAAGTACATATAAACTGGATAGTAATATGCTTACATTACAATAGTTTTGCTCTTACAGTCCTGTTATTATTCTACGGGGTGAGCTATTTTCCTAGTGTTGATGTTCAGTTGTTGTAGTATTTTGAATTGCTATTAAAATTATGCTGCGAAGATACAATTCTCAAGAGAGGGGGAGAATTTCTTAGAATCTTGCTGAGCAAAGCCTGATTACCTCCTCTATTTTAGTTTTCGTCTGCTTGTTGCCGCGGGTATTCTCTGCCCATTGCGGCCAGTATTCACTGCTTGGCATTTTTAAATGCAGTTTATTGGGTTTGTGGGGGCAGTTGAAGAGGAAGTGATCTGCATCACCTACCGCACCACATTCACACAAATCTGATGCTCGTATGCCGAATCTCTTAAGGTAATGTGGGAAGGGACCATGGCCAGTGTAGAATTGAGTTTGTGCTCCGCTGTATGTATTAACTGAGCACGTGACTTTTGGAAAGAACTTGTAGGTTCTCCTCCCTGTGCTTTCCCTTTCCCATCTTTTCTGCCATTCTTGAAAAAGGCTATTGAGCGTGGTTTTTTTTTTAAATAGGACTGCGGAACACTTACTGCGCTTTCCAATCTACTGGAGTCATTGGCAGCCGATTTCGCAAGCAGGTCTGCCGCTTCATTGCCAGTAATACCCACATGAGCTGGAACCCAGATCAGGATAGGTCTGTCATCTGGTGGGATACTTAGAAGAATTTTCTGAATATCTTGCACCAAAGGACTTCCTTGTCTTGTGCCCTCGGATGGACTCCAAAACTTGAGGCAGAGTCGCTATATATGCTGACCTTTAATCCTAATTGATTATTTTGCCAAATTGATGGCTGCTTTTAATGCAAGAAGCTCTGCCTGAAAGACGGTATTTTTGTCTGCCAGTCGTCTTTCCCAAGTTTTAACCATTTCTCCTTCTTGGAGTACACAGTAGGCGCAGCCTGTGCCTTTTTCCGTCTTTGAGCCATCTGTATAAATGGCAAATGCCTTCTCATTTGGCGGCGTGTATTGCATGTATATTGTGTGCGATAAATCAGTATCTGCAGGGTGTCCAAGCATGATCGGCTTGCGCTTCTCATAGTCTGTATGGTAGAATGTCTTTTGCCACAGAGAGACGTTATTTTCTAGGCGCAATGTCCTTACTAATAGTGATTCTCTCTCCTCCACTAGAAGGTCCAGTGGAGGGATACCCGCCAGCACTTGCAGTGCCGCAGTTGGGGATGTTCTATAAACCTTTGCATATGATCAAAAGTTGCATTCTTTGTATGGTGAGAAGCTGTCTTCTCATGTGGGCAGTAAGCTTCCTTCCCCATATGGCAGCCCCATATAATATGATCTTTTCTGAGATTGTTCTGTACCAGCTTTTGAGCATAGTGATTGGAGTGCCCCAATGAGGTCCTGATGTTCTAACCATGGAATTACTAATTTGATTTATTTTCTGCTTAAGCTCTTTAATATGCGGTACCCAGGAAAGCCTATTGTTAAATATAATACCTAGATATTTAAGGTCAGTGACCTTTTTTATAGAGACTCCATTTAGCTTAATGTTTGGGAATCTTATTTCGCGCTCCATGCTTACATATAAACAGTTGTTTAGTTTTTATCTGCTGAGATATTTAATTTGTGCTGATTTGCCCAGCTTGCAAAAGTATTGATTGCGTTTTGTGCCTTTAACCTAATGTCCGTGCTACCAGAAATGACCAATAAAAAGTCGTCTGCGTACGCCTGGATACTCACTCCTTGTTGTTGGTCATAAAGCGCAAAGGCTGTGTTCGCTACAAGATTCCAAAGTGTAGGTCCTAAGCAGGAACCCTGGGGACAGCCTCTTTCCAACTTGACTTTGAGTACATCATTGTCCGTTGTAACCTGTATCCAACGATCCTGCAAGTAGCTGCGTATAAGATTCAGGATTTCCTTTGGGCATTTGATGATGTCTAGGCATTCGACTACATCTGGCCACCACAACGAGTCGAATGCCCCTTTGATGTCCAACGAAATAACCAGTGTGTCCATATTGTTGTCTTTGTTCTGCTCTATGTTGTCTAGCAGTTGTTTTAAGGCATTATCTGTGGACTTTCCTGCGCAGAAGCCATATTGTTTTTCGTTTATAGACTTGTTCCTGCACATGTGGAAATTAAGGCGTTGCAAAATTACTTTTTCTAAAATCTTACTGATTGAAGGCAGTAAGCTTATGGGCCTATAAGATGCCGGGTCTGACGGATCTTTGCCCTGCTTGTGGAAGAGTGCAATTTCGGCTAGTTTCATGCTTCTAGGGAAGTGACCGAGTCGCCAGCAGGCTCTGCATAATTTTGGAAACAAACCTGGGAATTCTTTGTGAATTTCTTTAACAATGATATTATCTATACCATCGGGACCTGGTGCTTTTTTGTCTGTTAAGGCTTTGATGATATTATGAACTTCGTGGTCTGTAGGAAGAGTAATATCTCTGTTGCTGCTTTTCCAGCTTTTCCTATTAAACTTCTGCCTTATTTCTCTGTGAGTTACTAAATCAAATTCCATCTGGTCTTTAACAAAGATTGTTTCTAGGATAGTGTTTAGAGCTTCTGTTTTGCTTTTTGCATCTTGTTTTACTTTAGCGGTAAGTTGTAGGGGTTGAAAAACCTTATTTGTGGCTATTTTCTGTAATGTGCCATAGGTTGCTTGCACGTTACTGCAGTGCTTACGCCATGACTCTTGTTTCGCTGCCTTGATTTGCTTTTTGTATTGCGCTAGCTCCTTCCTGTAGCGTACCAACTTTAATATTTTCTGTTCTTCATCATTCTCCGCTTGCACCTGTCTTCTTAAGGGCTCGTATTTTGCTTCTTCTTTGCTTGAGGTGGTTGCTCCACCACGATGTAAATGTTTTCGGCTTAATAGCTTTAAGTTTGTAGGAAGCTCTTGCTGCCTGAGTTAATTTAGTTATGATGAAGTCATATGTAGAATCCAGCTCCTCCGGGGAGTCGCAGTTATCCAGTTGTTCCAAGATTTCACTCACCCATGGCCTGAAGTAAAACTTTAAAGTAGTGTGCCCTCCGTAGCAGGTCTTGAAACGTCTTTTTGTTAGGTACGTGAGTCTACTATTGATCTCATATTGAATTATACGATGGTCACTCAGAGAGGGTATGTCCATTATATCCCAGTTGTTTATGTACGCTGACATTGATGATGAGACAAATGTGACATCTGGCCAGCCTTTTGCTCTTCCATTGTCAAATGTAGGTTGAGAGTCTTCTTTATTTATTACTGTCATTCCGTGAGCTATTGCATATTCTAACAATTTCTGCGCTCTGCGATTTTCTGTTTGTGCTCCCCATAAGGGGCTGGTGGCGTTAAAGTCACCCGCCACTATGGTATTCTGGAATGTTCGCAGTACGGCTGGGTTTAATTCCTGTAGCAGGCATTCAATTTGCATGCTTGGGGGAAAGTAAACGCAAGTGATTGTTATTTTCATGTTGGAGGATTCTATCAAGATTGTTACTGTGTAATCTGTCGTATCCAGAAGCAATGGACTTAGAGGGCCGTTATACAAGATGGCTGCCATTCCCGTACTGGAGGCGTAGGATTTACTTGTAGAAGGTTGGCCAAGAAGTTTGCCGTCCCTCAAGTAAGGTTCTTGTAGGAGTGCCAGGTCTGCTGTACTGGAGGACATCACCTCCATGAAATTGAGTGTGGCTGCTCTTGCCCTTTGGAGATTGCACTGTAAAATTTTGATGTTAGACCGATCTCTGTTGTAAACTTTCTCTGTTATTGAGTGGACTCCCTGGCTGAGCTCATACTCGCCAATACTTGTCTGTAACATGGACATTTCGATGCACTTGCTGGATGTTGTGTGTCAAAGGTGCTACCTGTCTTCTCGTTCGCGAGGCTGCAGTTGACACAGTTGATGGTAACTGAGTCACACTTTTCTAACAGGTGACCTTCACCCCACACTTGGAGCAGGCTGTATCCGACTTGCAGTAACGTCTAAAGTGCCCAAATTTTTGACAGTTGTAACACCGTATCACTTGGAGATATTCTTTGAAATTGCAGGCGCAAAGTCCAATGTAGATTCTTTTCTTTCTAATAACTCTTCAGCCTGTTCCGTTGCAACACCCACTAGCCAATGGCAGGTGTTATCCTCCTTTGGGTAGGAACGAATAGGGAATATAAACTCTTTCGTGTTACTTGGGAACAAGTTGGAGAAGGCCTCTGTGATATCTGTAGCTGTACTGTCCTGTGGCACTCCAAAGACTATTATGGTACGCCTAGGTGGTCTGGGACTCTTACACTTAATGAGTGATCTAATTCCGGAATTTCACTGATGGCGGTCCTGAGTTTGTCCAGGTCTGTCTTCTCTCTCTACACCTGATGAGTAGTTCCTGCGAGCGCGTAGGCCTTACTTGGACGACGTTAATCCCCCCACTTTATTAGGCTTAATGCTACTCACTAGCTGCTTCTGAACACTTTCAGTAGTGCGACTCGTGTCTTTACTCTTAATAAGGAGAACGTGGTCAGGAAGCTTTGTGGCTGGAGAAACTTGTTTTAGTCTTCTGCGTCTATTAACCACAACGGTAAAGCCTTCGTTTGCTGCTACTTCTTTCTGCTGCTGCCTGTCCTCTACTTCCTGTGCTGGTGAAGTTGCTGCTACTACCACCACGGTTCCTGCTACAGATGCTGAGGACTGTTGGTGCAAATTTAAATGTCTTGTTAGTTCCAGAATTTGGCCCTCTTGGTTAGCTATAAGGATCTCTTGCTGTGAGGCTAAATTCAGAATCTCACGAATAAAATCCTGTAATTTCTCGTGATCTGCAATCTTAAGCTTCGATCTGACCCTGCACACTGTAAGGTGCTCCCTAATATCCTCCGTAATTGCGTTAATTTGCTCAAGTCTTGAGGCCTTAGACGATGGATTGTCGGGAGTAATCAAGGTAGTAATATCTTTGCCTGAAGTAGAAGAGGCTTCGAGTGTCCCCATTAAAAATAGGAAAAGTGCACTGCTTAGTACACAGTTGTAGCAAAAACGAAACTCCCTATTCAAAGAAACCTGAATGTATTAGGTGCTGTGGCCAAATATGGCTGCAGGTAAGTACTGTTACTACTGATATGGAGAGCTTTAGTGAGAGCCGAAATCAGCAATTATAGGACAAAACAACTATTGTAAGAGCTTATTACTACAGTAAGTTAAATGCTGAGAAACTAACAACAGTAAATGAAATGCTTAAATACATACATACATCAAATAAAGGGGTAAAAATAAATTAATACACTAAATGCTATGGCACTAGTTACCAAAATATTTAACAATGCGTGCTGAAATGTGCTTGTGCTGCGAAAATATCACGAGACCAGCGAAAATAACAGAGCGCTGTTATCCGAATTGCACATAATACACATAATTTACGTTACTTTACATGTACGTACACAGAATACACTCAAGTTATACAAGAAACAAAAGTAAATAGACACACAATAATAAATGATGATTACACTATTAATATGTTGGTACTAACTATCATCAAGTTAAATTGAAAAAGAAAATTGTGCAATATTAGGTTGGAACAACAAAATACCTATGCACTATGCTTTAAAAAAAAAAAAATAAATCATAAAAACAAGAATTGAATTTAAAAAAAATAATAAAAAGGGAAATGATATTAATAATAATAATAATATGTAAATAAATAAACAGTCCAAAGATTAACAGTAAATGCGCTACAGGAAAAGTGCTTATTGATGAGGCAAAAAACTGTATTCAGAAAATAGCCATGCTAAATTTAAAAAAAAAAAAAAAAGTTCTAAGTTCTGTAAATAAACAGTAGCACGTGGGAAGTTGTACTAGCGCAATCCCAACGTTGACTTTACTCTGAGATGACCTTTGAAGGCTAGGTTGTTATTGCAGCGGGGGGTTGATCACGTGGACTTACCCTGCGCCGTTTCTTCCTCAAGGACGAAGAAGGGAGTTCGCAGTTGATAAATTAAATGCAAACGTGTAAAAACGTAGAAATCAGTTAATAACGTTAGAACTATTGTAGCCAAAAATTTAAGATGCACCAAAATGTAGATGATTGAGTGGCCTACCTTTATAATGTTAAAACGCTGCAACACTCCCAGTAGAAGAAGAGATATTAAAAAATAAACCATGAAAATAGCACTTGTAGAGACACTTTATAAAAACATATAAAAAGCACTCACTATCACACTATAGACTTGAGACTTGTACCGGAAGCAAGCGGAAGGTACCAGCTTACTGTTGGTATGTAGATTGAAGTTGGATGGCTAAAAGGTGCCGAGAAATCCTTTAATAAAAATACGCGTCTGAGCGGCACTTCACTGAGCTGATCACTCCGTTAACAATGGTAAACGCAGACAATGGAAATAACATTATATTAAACCATATCTCAGGAACTATTCGACGTAGCCACAGGTAGTTGACACCGAATTGAAGCTCTCGACGAGATCTTTCCGTTGATATAAAAATTATGTACTATTTCACTTTAATACAGCACTTTTACCGAGTAAGATGTGGAGCTCACTTCTGCACGCACGCGTACTTTCTCGCTTCACCGTAAACTAGTCGCTGAACACTGGTAATGTATAGTCCGGAGTTTGAATTCCGACAAATGAGCTGGCTGCATGTGCGTTATCGTGGTTTTCCGCCATGGGCAACATATGTATGAGCCAGTTTCACTTAGAAAGTCCTCCAGGAAGGCATCCCCAGACAGACAGGCCTGGAGTGTTTTGCCATAATCTAACCAATCCACTTTTCATATGCTTTAAAAATTGCTTACTGCTTTTCTTGCGCAGTTATTGCAATTTATGTTTAAATTAAGTCATGATTATATTAGGTTATTAATCATGATAAGAATTTCGGAAGCCATCTGTATTAGAAGGATTGCTTTCCTCGTGGACTTCCAAGATCATAAATAAATTTTTCCTAGCAATGACTCTTTGTCGCGACATATGTTTGAAGTGCCGTGGAAATCATACGCTGCCAATTTGTTTGACCGCCGGAATCAAAGCTGGACCAAGTTACGAGTGTTAAAGTTCATTCTGTTAATGATGTCATAAAAAAAAAAGGGTCGAATAGTGAATAATTATTAAACTGAGCCTGTTAATCTTATCCATTTTATATTTTCTAAATTATTATTATTATATTTATCTATACTAATCTACAAACGTATTGAATGACGGTTATGTGTTCAGTTTTAATCCAAAGCTAAGAATTAAGTTTTGGTGCTTAAGTATTTGTAAAGAAACCTACCTTTTTATTTCATTATTGTGTACAGTAATTTTTTGCGTCTTTAGAAAGAACGATTGCGTATAATGTAAACTACTTACGGATAATCCACACATTCCTCAAAGGTGAAGAATAGGTTATTCCTAACATTGTTGGAAATTTTAGATTAAAGGAAACCTTTTTTTTTTTAAATGGCGGGCATAGTTGTTCCAGTGATAAACAGAAAAGAAAAGCCGTCCTCGTGTTCGTCTCTGCTGTCACCTGTGAATCGACAGATAATTTACATCCATGCCTTCTTCGGGATTCGAACCTGGCCCCTTCAGTACGATAGTCAGAATCACTAACCATTACCCCGGTAGTCAGAGTCACTAACCATGAAATTTTATCTTCAAGCCGCCTAGGCTTAAAGATAAATTTTCATTTATCTTTAAGTACTGATTTATCTTTAAGCCGCCTAGTCTTAAAGATAAATTTTCATGGACGTATTCTTGTCTCAGGCAACTATATACCAGAATGTATAATGAAATTTCTAAACAATTTATATCATTTTTGAATACTTTATGTATAAGTTTTGTTGTTTGTAAAGTGTATAACTTTTTTTTCGTATTTTTGTAGGGCGAATTTTCATTGATTATTGAAGCCTGGCGTCACTCAGACAAAAAAGGTCAGTTATTTTTTTATTATTTTGAAACTGTCTTTTAAAATATCCACTGCTGTATCAAAATAAAACCTTTCAAAATAAATTCTATTGCATTTGTATAAAATTAAAAAATTCGCTTCTCTTGTTGAGAGATTAATAGATAAATCGTAAGATCGATAATCGACAATAAACTTTTAATTGGCCATCTAAGAAGTAATACAATGCAGTTAAAAACGTTAATTTAGTGAAGAAGTTAAAAATAAGATCTTGAAAAAAGAAAAAGAAAATTTATAGCTAAGTATTATTTTTATTTATATTAATGAATGTAATACTACAGTGCATTAAAACAAGACTCATTTTTGGAGTTTGCCGAATTATTTCTACGGACTTTTTTTTCGCATTGCCCTAAAATCTCCTATTCATCTCTTATTCGCGATTTCCTATTTCAATCTCCTATTCGCGATTTCAGACTAAATCGTTTTGCGCTGTCTTCGTAATATTTATTGAAAATGTTCATTCGCTTTACACATCCTTATTTTTTCACGTTACTAGTTTGTGACGTCATTTTTAAAGTTGATTATTTCTAATAAATTTCGATTTTTTTTCGACAGTTAATTTTTGAATTGTTCTGAGCTCTTAGAAAGATATTGAGTTTTGGTTTCATCATTATCGTTTCGCTCTACAGGCGAAGCGTTTAGTAATGAAACCAAAACTATAACGAAGTTATGCAATTATGAAACCCAAACTGTAGGCGGTATAACTTATGCAATTCAGCCTTGTAGATAGTAGTACCCCATATTGTGTGGCATAATACTTGGTATAGTTTGGGTTTTAATATTGAACTTTTTCGTTATAGTGTATTATGATTTCTTTTCATCGCGATATTGTGTGGCGTAAATGCGAAGTTAGATAGTTAATTAAAAGCAATAATTCGTTAATTTCGCGAGTGAAATATTTATAACAAGAATACTGATTATGGATATTAGATGTTTTTAAATTTAAAACCAAACTATGACTGATTTAAAAAATTCAGCAGGAAGCAGATGTCCCGTATGAGAATCTGGCATGAATTTACCAGCAACTCTGCAGTGTAAATTCTTTTCACAGAAACAGCGTCTGTTCCAGAAACTTAAATTTACTATATTAAGATGAAATTTGCACATTAGGTCAGCAGGTAAGTTGATGCGCTGACCTAATACGAAAAATAAATTCTCAGTTGTTTGCAAAAACTACAAACTGTAAACAGTACATAAATGTTATGAATATTAATTTAACTTTGGACTTTTCCTTTAAAATTTAGCGTATATAAGAGCAATATCCTGCATATAGTATTTAACCTACTTAATTAATAGTTTTAATACTTTTTATATCTGACCTACTGATGGTTAACGTAACTACTGTACCCAAAGAGTCTCGCATTTATCATCGTCTCCCGGACCAGGTTTTGTCTAAATTTCCTGGTACTTTTTTGAACAATCTCCGCAATGAAATATCGGAAGGATGGAAAAAAAAAAAAAAAAAAGGAGAAGTCTCAAGAAACGAGAACGCAGTAGAAATAAAATAAAACTTCCATCGTCTTTGGGTGACGCGAGCGTGGGAACTTATTGTGACTTTGACCACCTGGTACCTCAAGGCCGGCTCTGCCCCTCCCCTCAGCGGCGGATCGTGGGAAAGTTAAGAGAGCCCCCTTCTTCCTACCTTTTCCCTCTTCTTCGGCTTCTTATTTTTTCTTATATTTTATTCTTGCGATTTTTTTTTTTAAGTTAAAGACGTATACGATGCGTATGTACCGGTTGTTTACATGGCGACGGCTACCTACTTACACCATCGAGGACGTTAACCTATTGGGTCCCAGTGTTGTGGTGTGTGAGAGAAAGGGAGAACTCTGGGAATGATCCATTATTGTGTAGATTTTTTAATGCTTTTAAGTGTCATTAACGCGCTTTCGATCGGGTCCTCGAGGCGGATGCCTGCCGTGAGCTAGGAGAGCGTTCAGACTTTAGCACTTACGGAAAGGGTTTTAATCCTTTCTCGCATGAAAACTCAAAACTAGAATCTTTGGAGCCAATTCAGTGGAGTCAATTAAAGATCCTCAGAAATGGTTTAATAGGATATGACCCGGGATCATTTTTTCTAAATTATTCGAGGCGAAAATATTTTTATAGCTTGAGCCTACCATCTAGATCAGTGGTCTTCAAACTGTCCGGGAGTCAAATCCCACACTTCGTGAGTCAAAATTCGGGAGGGGGGAATTAATGCGCTCACACTTTTTTCAGTATTGTTTATTAACTTAAAAATATAAAGATACATACAACATAACTTGGTCATCCTAAGCTAAAGAGACTGACGTGCAATGCTTTGCAAAACTAAACAGTTTTCTGAGTAAAAATGCATTGAATTTAGACGACAGTGTTAAAAATTATACAATGGAACATCTTTTCAACTGAAGAAAACTATAAAAAATTTTAAAAACTAAGTATGATTGCTAAAAAATCCGTTCAGTTTTGGTTTCTTTAATTATGGCAAAGCCTCGAGAGCTATCTGCTTAAGGGGTGGAATGCCTTCATGGAGGCCTTTCTAAGAAAAACTGGGTTCGTATACACGTTACACATAGGAAAAACGCCCATACAGCCAGCCCGTTCGCGGGATTAGAAACTCGGGCCGAACTACCAGTGTTAAGCGACTTAACCGCTCGGCCGCTGGTGGGCCAAAAAAAAAAATCCCTTCAAGTACTACGGTAAAACACTCACCAATAAAGAAAAGGGAAGGGCTTGCGAAGCAATAGATTTGACTTTAAAATCTAAATTTAAGTAAGAGCTTCCAAACTTTGGATTTTAGATTCATGCAGAATACCCCGAAGTTTCTCGAACAACTGCAGACATTGTAATGTCGTTCGTAACAGCGTATTTAAGCGAAAAATCTTCATAACGGACGTGGCAACAACAAATTATAGAAACGAATTAAATGCAGAATATGAAAAGCGATTACAGATAACATTAATAGAGTTAGACTTTGCAATTTGAGTTACAAAAGTGCAAGCACACTCCTGTCACTAAATATAATACAAGAGAAGTGACAGCTGGAGTTCCAGTTAATGTGAGTGATTAATGAGTAAATTATATTAATTTTATGTTAAATTTTTTCATAATAAGTACAATATTTTTTATTGTCTTTACAATAACGTATTGCTGTCGGCCACCTGCAGCGGTGGAGTGATAAAGTTGCTGAACACTGGTAGTTTGGTCCGAGTTTCGAATCCTGCGAACGGGCTGGCTACCAACCAACCTGCTCTCCTTCAAATACTATTTTAAGATATATTTTTCTGAGTGTGGGATAGGGTTCCCCGAAAAAAACCCTATAGTTCTAATGATTCTGTGAGTCCACAAAGTTTGTAGACTATTGACCTAGATTTGCAGCCATATAGACCAGGCACCACCTAAGACAGTTTAGGACCCGGCAAGTATCTTGACAGAAATCCACCCCCTCCTTAGCACCAGCTTTCTTTGCTTTTGTGAGGAAAGAATAGAGTTATGAGAGATTGAAGTCCTAGGTCCGGGCCTTATGCCCCTAAGCGTCGGAAGACTATGGCAAAGGCTACCATAAACTAGAAAGATGAATGGGAGTATTTTTTTGTAAAATACTGATCAAAGCGTAATAATCAAGTACCGAATCGAAAGCTGCGTTAAGTATTTGTGTGCTGGTGGCGTCTGGTTTATATTTGGTGAATTCTATATGTGAAAGAAATGGGTAAATATAATTATTTAAGTGTGTCCATATGGACTTTTACAATTTCTTTAAAAAAAGATTTCTTTAAAAGAATTAATAATGCATTTCAGGGATATATTATATAAATGAAATATACCAAGGCAATTTATCAATATTTTGGTCTTTTAATTTGAGATTTTGTGCTCCATGATTTTTATACACTGCATGATTTCCTCTTTACTGTCTTTATCATACTCTTCCTCTTGCCGTTCTAACTTTTATTCTTACCATTTTGTAAAAATTAATTTGAATTAATTGCTGTCACAAATAATTTCAGATAAATAAATAATTTTGTTGTCAGAGGCTAAAAATAACTTATGAATGTGATATTTCTTGATTATCATGCATGCTATTAACAGATAATATACATTACTGAATGAGGCTACTTTTCAGCCCTTTTATGTCATTATAATATATAATTTTCTATTATTCTATTCCTATTTTTCAAAATTCCATGCCAATTTTCAAGCTTTTTATTCCATTCAGTAATGTATATCCTAATATCTGTTTGTTAATATATTATTTAGTAGTTTTTCATTATTTAGTAGTTTTAACATTTTTAGTAATCCATAGTTTGATTAATTATATCCATTGGAAAATAAGAATCTCTTTTTTAATTTAACTCTTTCTTTTGACTTTTATTTTTATTTAATTATGTCAGGGTAATCAATATCCCTAAGGTAGTTCCTACTTTTATTTATTTTTTAATTGGAAATAAGAACTTAGGTATTCACCAAGCTTTAGATAAATTTATTAATTAAATAAATTATTTCATTAGATTTGCTTTAAATGTATGTAATGCACTATTTCCCTCCCAAAAAATCTTGGTGTGATAGATATTTTTTTTAAATCATGCCTATTGGTTTTTATTTAGCAGTTAAGCAATATGTAAAAAAATTTAATTAGTTTTGTGTATTTAGAATAAATAATTCAATAGGATTAAAATTATATAAAGTGCTACAAATTAATTGTTGAGTTATTAGGTTATTTTGAAGTAGGAGATGTGAAGAATGTGCAATTCCCTCGCCGGGACTCGAATCTGGACCTGTCGAATACGCATCAAGTGTGCTACCGTTACACCACGAAAGCATGCAGAAAGAAGGGAAAAAATCTCTTATATAATGATTTAATTATATAATTATAATCATGCTTAATGTAATTTTACAATTTGCTTTTTTAGGTATTCGATACATTTAAAAAAATTTTTATCCTTCTGTACGTTACTTGAGAAACTCAAAATTTGTTAGTATTTGTTGATT